TCTCGCACGACTGCGAGCTCGGTACTATTCCTTCGGTCGGCCCTCGACCCGGCCGAATTCTTCGAAAGAGCGTCGAAGATGGATTTCGCGTCGACCACGGACAGAGTTTCCACTCCTCCCGAGAGAGTACAATCACGGCTCAAAACAACGGAGAACGGAAATTGCGACAGATGCCAGTCTGGGCGACTGACGTCGCCGAACACAAGGTCCCTCCACAAGATGGACAGCCACTGGGCCTCGGCGAGGGCGGCAGAGAGCGACAGCGTCTCTGCTGCCCCGGTGGACGCAACAACTCTTTTTAATCTAGTCGATCTCCAGCTTAAAAGGGAAACACGACACCTCCTGTTCTGCCTTATGGCAGGATCGGCCGCCAGGACCAACCACCCTCCCTGGGCCCCGTTTCTTCGAGCGGACCCCGGGCCTCCCGCGTCGGAAACGGTCACGAAGCTCAGCGAGCTCGGGTCCAGGGGCCACAAAAGTATCTTCTGACTGGCGGCCCCCTTGAGATGCTTGACTATCTTAATACACAGCATTGCGTCACTGACCGCGGGCGAAGGGAGGGCGGCACTCTGAACGGAAGCCCCTGCTGAAACATCCGGCCGGGATTCCCGACCTAACCACTGAATCTGGGCCACCATCGTTCTGTGCAGCTTGACCTCCTCCGAGGTCAACGGCGCCTCGGGGTCCGAGCGCCTCTCCTTAGCTAACCGCATGGGGGCAAATTGTTATCAGATGTATTTCTCCTGGTCTATGAAGATTTTCTGGCCCACTTGTTTCACGCGTCCCCCGGCGAAATCGGCCTCCCCGGTCTCCCATTTGCCAAACTTGAACCTGCTTTGGAGTCTATCCTTCAGACCCTGGCGCTCCGCAGGAGCACTCGCCACTATGAGATCGCCCACCTCAATGAGCACCAAGGAACGGATCTCCCCTTGAGACGACCTCTTTACCCACAGGCAGGGCTCTAAAAGGGACTTGCTGAAACCGTCTTCTGAGAGCCATTGGGCGAGGGTTCTGTGCCAGAGGAGAGGTGCGTCATTTAGGCCGTACACTGGCGCAATGAGCTCGATGAGCTCACCAGGTCCCAAACTCAGCCCTTGGCACGGCTCGCAAAAGATCGACCCCTTGGGACGATGAAGCCTGTCGGACTGACAGAACGCGTTCTTACCGTCAGCGATCTCGAGCTCCCAACCGAGCGAGCTGATCGCTAGGTGACCATAATACTCTCTGCTTGTGGGGTCGGGGAATAGACGTGTAACTCTTCGTTGTCAGGATCGCGGTGCCCCTGGACACACCATCGCGATTTCGCAAGAGCCCCATGAGCCCACCCCCTCTTGAGGCTTGAACCTCCCAACCATCCTGGATCCCAGAATTCTGTCTGGAAATCTTCTCCTAACTACAGCCGCCTCGGCCGCCTTTAAAACTCGCACCGCCCCGGAGTCGAGAATTGCCTTCCACTCCTCGGCGTCAGAAAAGGAAAACAGGAGTCTTTCCTCGGGGGATAAACTCTTCAGTGAAACTTCGGCGCCGCGCCTTGACGGAGGATCCTCACCCTTCTCCTTGCCCTTGGAAGTAGTGAAGGTCCCCTGAGACTCGGAACACCAGAAATCAAAACTAAAGTGGAACCGGGACCAGAGTTATTCCCAGAGATCCTCCTGGTCCTCCTCCCCCGTCCCCGCTGTATTAGGCCCCCCAGAGGCTCTGAGGTCTCTCTCCTCGGAGATCGCGACCCCTCTCGCGCGGCAGAAGAAGGTTCCGGCAGCTGGCGAGCTTCGCCCTCACGAAGTGGGCCTAAGCTGCTGGCGCTAGTCTGACGACCCCTTCTAATACACAGTGGCACATCGTCCAGAAGACCATTTCGTAAACCAGAACTTTCCCGTTCCTGGGCGGCTTCCCTGACTCGGCGTGGACCCTGGATTCGGTCTTCGATCGGCGTCAGACGAGGTCTCTGAGATGGAGGTGGCTCGGTGGGATCTCGTCGCCTGGCTGGATTCACCTCGTCAACCCCTGAGGCCCCATCGTCCCCTGGGCGGCCCCCCTGGGAGATTCTGCCCCGATGCTGCCCCGATGCTCTGAGACCGACTTTCGGCGGAGATGGTCACTGGGCGCGCCGTCGACGCTTGATCGTCTCCGATCGGGCCAGCTGCCGCGGCAGGCTCCTGGGCCTGCGGAGGCTCGGCCGGCGGAGGCACTGGAACCACTGGGACTGGAGTGTCCTGAGACTCGGGCCCCCTCGAGATCCAAAGCCTCCCGGGGTGGCGGACCTTCGGCCTCAACGCCCACTGCTCCGACTCGTCTTCCCGGAGCCTGAAGCTCCTGACGCAGTCGAGCGAAGGAAGGTGAGTCCAGAAGTTCAGCTCCCCAGGATTCGTCCTTAGTGGCCCATCTAATCTGTTCTTGGCAACACTTCAGCAGGCGCGATCTCATCGCTACCCACGCTGTCGTGCCCTGCTGAAACACTACGGCTCCTGGGCCGGTCCAGCGGGAACGCTTGTTCCGGGGGCCCTTTCCCCTGTCTTGAGACGTTCCTCCCTTTCTCCAAACGCACACAAAGGCTCCTGGAGGGAAGATCTTGTCAACGTGCTTTCGGGCCTTGCTGGCCGCTATCAGACGGCCCCGGGTGCCCATAATCACGACGGCCTTCTTGGCCTCCTCTCTGAGGGCGTGCTTTCGAGCGAAGGCGGTGGCAGGGGAGTTGGAGCCCGTTGATCCTCGAATCACGTCTCCGATCCCAACTTCGTCGTGGGCTTCATCGGACAAGAGAGATCGGGGAAGACGAGGATTCTCGCCGAACACCATCTGATAGGGCGAGAAGCCGCCCCTGTGGGAGTACCTATTCTTCGCTGAGATAACCTCGCAGAGGAGTTCCTCCACCTCCTCGAGGTTGGCAGGCTCCGCCCCGCTGGCGGCTCGAACAAGCGCGCTCTTGGCTAATCCCCCATGACGCTCACACCTCCCATTCTGCCAAGGAGACTCGGCGTCACAAACGTGCTGGTATCTCTGGTATCCCGTAAGGTCTCACCCAGAACTTGAGGAAGGCGTTCCAAACCTCAGCTGACGTGGCGGCTCGCAGCAAAGTGCACACCTGGAAGTTCGATCCGTGATCGATCAGGTTTAGCACTGGGCGGGTCGAGTCTAGCACCTGCATGTAAAAGAGATCGGCCGCGACTAGCTTATCGAAACGGCATGTTCGGGGCAAGTGAGCCCTACGTCTCCAACCTGGACGAGATCCTGAGTCACACGTGGGGCACTTAAAACATGTCAAGACCCATTGGATGACTTCCTTCTTGGCTTTGCCGACTTTCAGGGTCCTGACGAAATGATCCCTTCGAGGGTGTCCGAGGTTCACGTGAAGCTTGTGAATTTCTTCCTGGAGCTCCCTGGAGAGCTCTGGAGTCTTCGAAAGTCCCGGGGGACTTGGGCAGTTCCTGGTTTCTTGCTCATCTTCGGACGCAGAGTCCTCGACCTCGGCTGGTTCGTTGGGTAGGTCGCCCCCCGCCGCCGGGAACGATCCCTCAGCGGCCTCACTGAAGATCACCTGCTCGACGCCCTGCGCAAGAGCGTTCACCAGCGCAGGTGGAAACCGTTCAGCCGCGGACGTCCTGGCGCCGCCAATGAGAACAGAATGCACATGACTACCCTCACATCTGCGTGCACACTTGTCCAGGATTTCCTTGGAGTTGGATATGAATCGAGTAGGTTTCAACGCTGGCCCCCCGTCGAGAGTCTTCAAACCAAAAGCGCACTGATCGGCCCGGACCTCGAGAACCCCGGACTGCTCCAGCAAGATCTCTGTAGACCTCAGCTGTCTTGAGAAAGCTCCGAAAGGATTTTCGATGAGAAACTTTCTTCCGTGAGCGATCTGATGCGTCGCCACCTGCACCACCAGACCCCAGAAGAAAATACTCTCTTGCTCGATTCGGTCTCTCTCATCTGGATCCATCTTGTCCCAGTTAGGAACTCTAGCTACTGACACTCCCCGGCAGGGTGGAGTCATCAGGACGACCTCGGGACGATCTGACCGAATCATTTCCCACATGTTTTTCCTTTCCCGGGCTCGGCGAAGGCCCCAACCCGCTCTCAAATCCACCGCTCTTGAAACGGGAAAGCCCCTGCGAGACATCTCCGAGGTAACCCTGGGGGGGAGAGAACAACTCTAGGAGCACCGTCCTCTTCTTCTGGACCATCTCCTGGATGGCTTTGTGCCTTCGTTGTTTTCTAGAGGCGCGAACCCCATTCCCCACTAGAGATCTGAGGGCGTCTCCTCGCACTCTACGAGGTACCGCTACAGGACGCTGAACCAGAGACCTTCTAAGAGTCGGGCGTCGGTCCAGCATGGACCAGCTCTGGGGCAGACTAGCCGGGCCACTAGCCGAGGCCCAGACAGAGATAGATAATCAGCTCGGACTGCTTGTAGCCCTCGAGGTTGGAGGCAATCTCGGACGCTGAGGCCCCTACCCAAAGAGTGTCGGTGACGGTGCTGATCTTCGTGGGTGTCGTAGTCGCTATCCTTAGTCTCTTGACCCCTGATCCTTCGAAGATGCTCGACGTTTCTCCTCTTGCCCTGAGGGCAAGATAGATCAGAAAACTTTGGGCCTCCGAACCCTCCAATTGTCTTTCTTCCCAGAGACCACTCTCGGTCACCTCTTCCAGAGAAACCGACCTGCCGGTCTCGGTGTCCCAGAGCCAGGTTCCCAAGAGTTCCAACTTTCTTCGCATGTCCACCTTGGAATTCCTCCGATCGGCGATTCCGAAGTTCTTCGCGGCCCAGTCCCCGGATTCGGTCCCTGGGGGAAGCAGGCCTCTGAGGTCATCCTGGATCCCTGGGTCAAAACTGGAAACTTCTCGGATGGTGGTGCGGGAGACGGAAAGATGATGATGATCATGATTTTGGCTGCAGGCGCCGGGAGCAGATGACGCATCTGCCTTGGTTATGTAGGTCGTCGAGACACTCTCGATGGAGGATATGTAGTTGCCCTCGGCTACCGAGAGGCTGGATTCACTTAGCGCTCGTCGTCGCCCTCGACCTTCATCGCCTCGGGGGCTGGCCCCCTGCTGCTTGCCGCTCTGGTCAATCTGGAGCTGATCATCGTCATGAGGTCCCTGAACTGGGCGCGTGCCCCGTCCGTCTGCTGGCGCTGCTCCATCATCCACTGGGTAATCTCTGCTCGATTGCTCTCCTGGTTCTTGAGAAGCTCGGTGAACTCCGCGCTGCGGCCGTTCGCCTCGACCCTGCGGGCTGGAGGACTCTTGACGGCGGCGGGGCCGCATCCCGCAGGCGGCGCCTTCATGATGTTGCCCGGTGCGGGCATCACTGGGATTCCCTCGCAAATCGGCCTCATCCTGGTCTTGAGTGGCGTCACTTGCCCCGGGCTGCTGTTCGAAGAAGACCCTGGGCTGTGTGGCGGCCTTCGCACTGGCACCTTCTCCGCCTGCTGGTAGTCTCCGTTCCTGACGGCGATGCCCATCTTCACCTCCATCTGCTCGGTCTCCTTGCGCGCCCACTCCTGCTTGATGCCGTCGCGCTTCGCCTCCCTCTCGATCTCCATCTGGATCTTCTCCTCGGCTGGGAATCGGGCCGTCTCGAGTCGACCGCCGCACTTCTTGCACTTCACCCACCTCGCATACTGGTTCGAGCGGCACTCTCTCGCCTCCAAGGGACGCTCGCAGTCCTCCTCGCTGATCTCCCGGCAAGCGCCCAGCTTCAAGCGAGGAGCCAAGCTCGCCATCAGCCTGGACTCCGCACAAGACCTGAGAAGCACCAGTAGAGTCAGTGCCCACCTCCTCCAGCGATGGGCTGGTGGAGATAGCAGGTAGCCCCCCTCGTTCAGCAGGTTCTTCTCGACCTCCGACCGCTCGCAGTCCTCGTAGCTCACCTGCTGCAGCTCGGAGTCCTGCCAGGGATCTGGAGGGAGGTCCCAGTTCGCCTCGATCTCTGAGTCCTCCTCGTCGACCGGCTCGAGATCCGAGGATGCGAGGCGCGTGGCCGCCAGTCGAGCATGACGGCGCGTCTTGGACAAAATCCCGGACACGCGGCGCTTCTGCATCGAAGATTTGGGAGTCGCCCTCACCACACTCGGGCAACTGAAAGCTGGAAGCTTGAGCGAGAGAAACGGCTACGGAGGGGGGATGCAATTCAATTTGGCTTGTCAGATGCCCCGAAGAATTCCCACTGACCCGAGACTCCCGAGACGAAGAGTGAGAACTGTCTGACTGAAGCACCTGAACGCCCCTGCCCTCACCACCTACCCGCTGCAAGTCCTGCGGTCCGATGTCGGACTTCAGAAAGAAGTCAGAGTAGCCGATCCAGTAGACCGGCATCTTGAGCACGCCGTCCTGGCCGGTCCACTCGTGCTCGTAAATGTGCTCTATCCAGGTGTCGTGCTGATCTCGGAACTTACAGCACGTGACCCTGAGCTCGTCGAGATCCTGGATACTGACGGGCAGGCTGACCTCCGCCTTCGGATCGACTAGCTCTCGCCTCGGCCTCACGTGGTGCAGACGGCAGCGATCTGACATCATTTCCCAGAAGTCCAGGTGGCCCTCGACCTGGTTCGTCATCCAGGTGGTCTCCTGAAACTCTCCCTTCGGCAGCGTGAAACTGGGAAACTTATTCTCGAGGCTGGGGCTCAAACGGAAGTCCTTCGAGGGCCTACCAATCAACGCTATTGATCTGCGTCCTGAGGGCAGTCTGGTCATAGGAATCCCATGTTCACCATCCTCTCCGAATCTCAAAACGTTGAGCTTCATCATATCAATGACAGCTCCGAGCAACTCAAGAAACCCAGCTGGTAGCAACGGCGGACACGCACGAGGTAGCACCAGGAACTCCAAGACTCCGCACTTCACGAACGAGAGCGGCACCGCCGCCTTGGCGATCGGACGGATTCTCCCTCCCACTCCATTGGCGCACGGCAGGTCGTCTTCCTTCGTTACATGAATCACGTAGCCCTTGGCCTTCCAGGCCGAGATCATCGTGTCCAAGTCCGGCTGACCTATCAGGGCCTGGGCGGCTGCCGTATCTACGAGTCCATGATCTTCCATGTCACGAAGATGCACTCCCGAGAACTCCGGTGATCCCTCCGCCAGCTTCTCAAAGAACGCGGTCCAAGATGGAGCTGAGGTCCCGAACGAGTCGAATGAGAAATAGATCGTCGGCTGCACTGACGTTTGACACGTGACCCGACTTTTCTGTTTTCAATCTGTCTTCTTTCGATCGGTACGGCTTCCGACAATCTTCACGCCAATGGCCCTTTTCACCGCAGTTCGTACATCGAGTGCGTTTCTTCGTGTCTTCCTTGGATATCTTTCTGAACCCTGGGCGTCCCGCTGGAGACGAAGAAGCCGCGCCTCGCTGTCTGTCGAAAAACTCCGGGTCGACTTTCCGAGCTGCTTCCAGTTGTTTTGCCTCTTTCCAAGTTCTACGCCTCCGAGAGTGTGCCAGTTCCGCGTACACTTCGAAAGCCTCGTCCTCATACATCTCCTGGGCCTCCAGAGACGTTAGAAACGCTGCGGCCTCCTCGGCCGGAAACTCCACATCGAAGAGATCTCCAGAGTCACACAACTGGCACTCATCGTCGTCGTCTAGCGTCGCGTAGACCTTGCTGGACTGATGTGGCGGTCTCGGTAGAAGGTTCTTCTCGGCTACGTCTATCTGCTGAAGGGCGCTCCTTACCGACTTGCAAGAACGATCACCCGCCATCAACGCACGAAGGTTCACTCGCATCTGGCCCGACAATTGAGATCCCTCTTCATAGAATCTGACCTTGACATCGTCCGGGAGAGTTAATCCGAAAGATTCTGCCTGTGAGATCTGCGTGTCCCGGCGCACTACAAACTCGGTGAGGCTTTCGCCTCTACGGATGCTCACGTCGAACAGCGCGGCGTTGTGCGCCTCGCGTTCTCGATATCCTGGCCTTTCTCCGTTCAGTAGACGAAGGTGCTTGACGAGAACCACAACGCCGTCCTCGGCGTCTAGCTGGTCTCGTACACCCCGAAACTTGGCCTGGAGCTCGTCGGGAAATCCTTCCAAGATCTTCGAAGCCTGGGTCTCCGGTTGGAAACCAGTTCTTTAGTCCAAGAAGTCAAGTTGTGGAGGTACGTGTCCAAGTGCTCTAAGCCCAAGAAAGGTGGCGGAACCGACAAGTCCCTGCTCCTCTCAGCTAGCCCCTTCCAGGGCCCGTAACTCCAGTCCGAAGATGCCCAAGACTGTGCTGCCCACGACCAGGGCTGCCACTGCCACCAGTTCCACCAGTCTTGCCCTTCCCATTCACCCTCTTCTCCTTCCTGATCTTGTCATGGTTCCTGCTGCTCCTGTGCCGGTTCCTCGCCGGCTGGCTCGTCTGTCATGGCCACAAGCGTCATGGCTGACTCCGAAACGCTCGCTCCCTGAGAAGATGCCCGTCCCCCTGTCGGTACCACGCTCCGGCTACCATTGTCTGTGACTGGTCGAGAGGGGGAAAGCATGAATCTTTCTGTGCGAGCGCCCTGAAGAAGCCAACATCACCTGTGCCCGTCACGGACGGGCTGAAAGCCTAAAAGGCTATGACAGACACAAAGAGGGTGGAAGAGAAGAGACAAGAGAGGACAATCATCAGCAGCATCATCATCATCATCAGCAGCATCATCATCATTATCAGCGTCGGCATCATCATCAGCATCAGCATCATCAGCACCATCATCAGCATAATCATCATCATCATCATCATCATCATCATCATCATCATCATCATCATCACCATCATCATCATCATCATCATCATCATCATCATGATCATCATCATCATCATCATCATCATCATCATCAGCATCATCATCATAATCAGCATCATCATCATCAGCATCATCAGCATCATCATCATCATCACCATCATCACCATCATCATCAGCATCATCATCCGCATCATCATCATCACCATCATCAAAATAATCATCAGCATCATCCTCATAATCATAATCCTCATCATCATCATCAGCATCATCAGCATCAGCATCGGCATCATCATCAGCAGCATCATCATCAGCAGCATCATGCTCATCATCATCAGTATCAGCATCATCAGCATCAACATCATCAGTATCAGCATCATCATCAGCATCATCATAACCATCATCACCATCATGATCATCATCATCAGCATCATCATCATCATCAGCATCAGCATCAGCATCAGCAGTATCAGCAGCAGCAGCATCATCATCATGAACATCATCATCATCATCAGCATCATCATCATCAGCATCATCATCAGCATCAGCATCATCATCATCATCAGCAGCAGCATCAGCATCATTATCATCAGAATCAGCATCAGAATCATCATCATCAGCATCAGCATCATCATCATCACGATCATCATCGTCATCATCAGCATCACCATCATAAGCAGCAGCAGCATCATCACCATCATCATCATCATCATCATCATCATCATAACCATCATCATCATCACCATCATCAGCTGCAGTAGCATCCTCATCATCATCAGCATCAGCATCATCATCATCATCATCATCATCATCATTAGAAGCAGCATCATCAACATCATTATCATCATCATCACCATCATCATCAGCATCAGCATCGGAATCATCAGCATGATCAGCATCATCAGCATCATCAGCATCATCAGCATCATCATCATGATCATCATCATCACCATCATGATCATCAGCATCACCATCAGCAGCAGCAGCATCATCATCATCAGCATCATCATCATCATCAGCATCATCATCATTAGCATCATCATCACCATCATCACCATCATCATCAGCAGCATCATCATCATCAGCATCATCATCAGCATCAGCAGCATCATCATCAGCATCAGCATCATCACCATCATCGCCATTATCATCATCATTATCATCATCGGCATCATCATCAGCAGCATCATCATCACCATCATCACCATCATCATCATCAGCATCAGCATCAGCATCATCATCAGCATCATCATCACCATCAGCATCATCATCATCACCATCATCACCATCAGCA